TGAAATTGAGGCAATAATTAATAGCCTACCAACCAAAAAAAGTCCAGGACAAGATGGATTCACAGCTGAATTCTACCAGAGGTACAAGGAGGAGCTGGTACCATTCCTTCTGAAACTATTCCAATCAATAGAAAAAGAGGGAATCCTCCCTAACTCATTTTACGAGACCAACATCATCCTGATACCAAAGCCTGGCAGAGACACAACAAAAAAAGAAAATTTTAGACCAATATCCCTGATGAACAGCAATGCAAAAATCCTCAATAAAATACTGGCAAACCAAATCCAGCAGCACATCAAAAAGCTTATCCAACATGATCAAGTGGGCTTCATCCCTGGGATGCAAGGCTGGTTCAATATATGCAAATCAATAAACATAATCCAGCATATAAACAGAACCAAAGACAAAAAATACATGATTATCTCAATAGATGCAGAAAAGGCCTTTGACAAAATTCAACAGCCCTTCATGCTAAAAACTCTCAATAAATTTGGTATTGATGGAACCTATCTCAAAATAATAAGAGCTATTTATGAAAACCCCACAGCCAATATCATACTGAATGGGCAAAAACTGGAAAAATTCCCTTTGAAAACTGGCACAAGACAGGGATGCCCTCTCTCACCACTCCCATTCAACATAGTGATGGAAGTTCTGGCCAGGGCAATCAGGCAAGAGAAAGAAATAAAGGGTATTCAGTTAGGAAAAGAAGAGGTCAAATTGTCCCTATTTGCAGATGACATGATTGTATATTTAGAAAACTCCATCATCTCAGCCCAAAATCTCCTTAAGCTGATAAGCAACTTCAGCAAAGTCTCAGGATACAAAATCAATGTGCAAAAATCACAAGCATTCTTATACACCAGTAACAGACAAACAGAGAGCCAAATCATGAATGAACTTCCATTCACAATTGCTTCAAAGAGAATAAAATACCTAGGAATCCAACTTACAAGGGATGTAAAGGACCTCTTCAAGGAGAACTACAAACCACTGCTCAGTGAAATAAAAGAGGACACAAACAAATGGAAGAACATACCATGCTCGTGGATAGGAAGAATCAATATCATGAAAATGGCCATACTGCCCAAGGTAATTTATAGGTTCAATGCCATTCCCATCAAGCTACCAATGACTTTCTTCACAGAATTGGAAAAAACTGCTTTAAAGTTCATATGGAACCACAAAAGAGCCCTCATTGCCAAGACAATCCTAAGTCAAAAGAACAAAGCTGGAGGCATCATGCTACCTGACTTCAAACTATACTACAAGGCTACAGTAACCAAAACAGCATGGTACTGATACCAAAACAGAGATATAGACCAATGGAACAGAACAGAGTCCTCAGAAATAATACCACACATCTACAGCCATCTGATCTTTGACAAACCTGGGAAAAACAAGAAATGGGGAAAAGATTCCCTATTTAATAAATGGTGCTGGGAAAATTGGCTAGCCATAAGTAGAAAGCTGAAACTGGATCCTTTCCTTACTCCTTATATGAAAATTAACTCAAGATGGATTAGAGACTTAAATGTTAGACCTAAAACCACAAAAACCCTAGAAGAAAACCTAGGTAATACCATTCAGGACATAGGCATGGGCAAGGACTTCATTTCTAAAACACCAAAAGCAACAGCAACAAAAGCCAAAATTGACAAATGGGATCTCATTAAACTAAAGAACTTCTGCACAGCAAAAGAAACTACCATCAGAGTGAACAGGCAACCTACAGAATGGGAGAAAATTTTGCAATCTACTCATCTGACAAAGGGCTAATATCCAGAACCTACAAAGAACTCAAACAAATTTACAAGAAGAAAACAAACAACCCCATCAAATTGTGGGCAAAGGATATGAACAGACATTTCTCAAAAGAAGACAGGCATACAGCCTACAGACACATGAAAAAATGCTCGTCATCACTGGCCATCAGAGAAATGCAAATCAAAACCACAATGAGATGCCATCTCACACCAGTTAGAATGGCAATCATTAAAAAGTCAGGAAACAACAGGTGCTGGAGAGGATGTGGAGAAATAGGAACATTTTTACACTGTTGGTGGGATTGTAAACTAGTTCAACCATTATGGAAAACAGTATGGTGATTCCTCAAGGATGTAGAACTAGAAGTACCATATGACCCAGCCATCCCATTACTGGGTATATACCCAAAGGATTATAAATCATGTTGCTATAAGGACACATGCACATATATGTTCATTGTGGCACTATTCACAATAGCAAAGACTTGGAATCAGCCCAAATGTCCATCAGTGACAGACTGGATTAAGAAAATGTGGCACATATACACTATGGAATACTATGCAGCCATAAAAATGGATGAGTTCGTGTCCTTTGTAGGGACATAGATGCAGCTGGAAACCATCATTCTCAGCAAACTATCGCAAGAACAGAAAACCAAACACTACATGTCCTCACTCATAGGTGGGAACTGAACAATGAGATCACTTGGACTCGGGAAGGGGAACATCACACACTGGGGCCTATTATGGGGAGGTGGGAGCATGGAAGGATTGCATTGGGAGTTATACCTGATGTAAATGACGAGTTGATGGGTTCTGACGAGTTGATGGGTGCAGCACACCAACATGGCACAAGTATACATATGTAACAAACCTGCACGTTATGCACATGTACCCTAGAACTTAAAGTATAATAATAATTTTTAAAAAAAGAAGTCAATATAAGGCCCCACTTGTATTTTCTAATTTGTCTGTGCTCTTCTCAGACTTTATACATTTCCTGTTTCCATGTTTTTGCATGTGCTCTTCCTTCTGCTTAGAATTCTTTTTCTATCATTCTCCATAAATCCAAATTTGACTCATTCTCTCAGGACAAAAACCAGCTTCTCCAAAAAGACTCCCCTGATTGTCTCAAGTTGAAGTGAGTGCTCTCTTTCCTAAACTACCCTGTAACTTAATTTGTATTTTGCTTTCACTTTTTTTTCAACTCTAGTATATAGCTCTTGCAGAGCAAGATTCATGTTTAACTAATCATCATCTCCTTGAAATAGCCACAGTGCCTCTATACAAAAGTTACTCTATAAATTTTGATTTATGCTTCAATACTAAAAGTTTTCTATCATTAAATTTTTATCATATAGTAATGCAGCAATATCATCAGGGTACTTTAACATCTGTAAATCCTTTTCGATTTGTGTGTAGTGGACATTTTCACCTAACTCACCTTTCATTTCCTCTTTCTCCTTTTTAACCATACTTAGTTCAAGTGTGTAACTAACCCCTAAATAGCTTGTGTTGCCAAGGAAGCTGGCTCCATTCCCAGCTTCAAGAGAGAGACCAAAAATATTCCAAACCAACCAATGCATAGCTTTCTCTGATAACTGCTACTGGTCTAGGAGTGGGTATAAGACCAAGTTGACTCAATTAGACAGAACAGACAGACTGTAATTTCATAGTGGAGAATGGTTTATCATAGTTTCATTCTCTCTTCCTCTCTCCCCGCTACACACTGCATATGAACAATGAAACATACAGCAATAGCAATAGTTATTTATTGCTGTATAACAAAACAGCCCAAAACTCAGCGGGCTGAAAAGAGCAATTATTTGTCATCTCTTAGAGTGCCTGTGAGTCAGTAATTCAGCAGAGCATAGGAGGGATGCCTTGCCTCTTCTCTACAATATCTGAGACCTCAACTGGAAGACTCCAAGGCTGGGAGCTGGACTTAGTAGAAAGCTCGTTCACTCTGGTCGTTGATGCTGGCTATCAACTAAAACTTACTGAAGCTATTGGTTTGAACACCTACATATAGCCTCTCCACGCAGCCTGGGTTTCCCCACACCCACCTGGTGGTTTTCCCCAGGTAGCTGGGTTCCAAAGGCCAGCATCCCCCCGAAAAGTCATCTTACATCATTGATAAGAGACAGGCCAAAAACCAAGTGGACTCAGAAAAGCAGGAACGGAATGATGGTGTTAACCTGGTCTTGATCACACAGTTAACTTGTGAATCAACCAACATTAATGGCTATCCATACTGCTGCACTTTCTATATGGGACAATACATTTAAAATAATTTGAGTTGGACTTTCTATTACCTATGTTCAAAACCATCTTAATTAGTGCACTGCATTTTGACCATCAATAACAGGCTAATAGAAGAAACTGTTAGGAATGGGGGACCACCACATATTCTTCTGCAAGAAAGCAGCTGCATCCTGCATTCAAATCTCTGAGGGCTGTTGATTCTCTATATGCCATCTCATCGTTTTTTCATCTTATTCTTAGTGATACATACCCATACAGTACAGTTAAATTTCCACTGCAGTAAGCAAAGCGCTGGTTAAAAGTTCTTATGATGCTATCAGGAGCTTCATATCCAGAAACAATTAAGTCCTATTGTGCCCTGAAGCCTGGTAACTGCCATTTTGTTGATGATATTCCATCTGGATACTGAATCTATGCATTATTCAGTTAAACTGATTGGAGAAAAAGCACTACACTGTCCCTATTTTTATTATCTATACTGCTATTTTAACTTTCAATCCAGGTCATTATTAAGTAGCTAGAAACAGATTGTAATGTTGAGATTTTGTATCATCATTTGCAGTGTTCACGTATTTTCAAGGATGCAGAATTTGTTCAATCTGGTTTCATCCTAAAATTTTATGGACCTAACTTTAGAACTAAGTAATAATTTGGTGGGGGCAGGGAATGAGGTGTTTTCTATAAGTTGAAATGAGCACAGAGCTAAAATATTAATATTTTTGTTACATGATGCTCACATAAATTTAAAATGGCTTTTCTTTTTAAAAGGCAATTTGTACATGATTGGGACTTTATATTCACAGATGATGCCACTCAATACCTTTTATAGTTTTTCAAGTTGTTCTAATGGAGACCTGTGAATCAGCATGCACTGTATTGAAGATGATTCAAATTCAGAAACCAAATCTCTTAAGTTTAAAGAAAAAAATGACAAAGCAAGCTGAAAATTCTTAAAATGACTCAAAGTGTCAGGATGAAAATCTTTTGCCTTCTCTCCATTTCTTATTTATCACAATAATTAATAACACGCTGTATTTTCCCTTTTTAAAACAGAGAAAATGCACAATGCCCAATAATCAGGCTTATCTCTAATGAGCAACCAAATACAAAAACATAAGAAGCCAAATCAATCCCCCTGGAAGAAGATGGAGCAGGAAAACTAGCAAGAAACACCTTCAGTTTCTTAGGACTAAATGTAGGTGAACTGTAGGTGAAATGCCATTGAAATGTTCTGAATAAACCTGCAAAATGAACTGTACAGCTAATCTCCTCTGGGAAATATGAAACCTAGTGGTCCCAGTCATCTAGACATTGGGGTATATGATTCAAAAATAAATTAGAAGAAATGAGTAGATAATAAACATCCTTGAAACAAATACGAATGGAGTCTCCAAAGAAGCAGTTACAGAAAGAAAAATGTTTTTTTGGCAGCATGTTCTTCACAAAACAATCCAGAAAGAACAAAAGCTCCAATGATGCATTGAGGTTTGTTTTTTCTGCAGTAGCCTTTTTTCTCTCTTCAAAGCAGACCCTCCACCCGCACTTGGGTGGTTGTTGCTGAAGATGTTTTTATTGCAGAGTGCAATAAATAGTTATATAATACGTTTATTTTTTCATTTCAATGACTTCTCTCCTCCTTTCTTCTTGAAAATGTCTTTCAGTCATTTTGCTCGCCTTCTTTATTTTTTCTCTGGAAAGAAAAAATATAACCAGAAAAAAAACACATAAACATCCTGAATACAGTGTTTAGTGCCTGGTAGAAATAAGACAGAACAAAACAAAATATGTGACTGAAAAGTTAGACAACTGGACCGAGGGAATGCTAGTCTACTGAGCAATGCTATGAAGGAAAATAAAAAAACAGCAGGCTTTGTGTTGTTAAGAAAAGAGCTCCCAAAATAATAACTATGAATTTCTGAATAGAGTTTTTAGAGTTGTCATCTGTTCTTTCTCTACTGATTGACATATCCACAAGCAAAATCTTTTGTTTCATTGTTCTTTGTTTTCTCTCATATATTTTTCATGATGAACAGTTAAATAGCAAAAGAAAGGAGGAACAAAAGGTCTGTCACTAACAAGATGGTATTTTATACTGTAAAAATCATTTTAAATTAGATTTAACAGCAAATCCTTAGCCTGACAAATTGTACTCATCATAGGTACCTACCTTCCTCCCAGTCTGTCACAGCCAGGGCCACTTTTCTCCCACACATATATTTTATCTTCTTTTCTTTCTTGCCTGCAGGTCTTGGCTTATTCTATAGCCCAATCCAGAATGTTACTTCTCAAATCCCTGTTGAGATCTACCCTACAATGTTCCTTCAAATCGCAAATCAAAGCTTCTCTGCCTTAAGCAGCCTTCACCTACTAATTCTACTTCATAATGTAGATTCCTCTTCTTCTAAACAATATTATGTCTACGGCATAGTAGACACAGTATCTGCACTAAAAAAAATAGCTTTTATTATAACTTTGAATTTCTTCAGGTGTTACATTGGCAACTTTACTATCCATCCTGGAATATCATAAAGGTCACCTTCAAGTTAAATTCAAATTTCTCCTTATTTTTACAGTTCTTGTCACTCTCTCCTAAGTAATAATGAACTGAGTTATATATTCAGAGCTTCTTATAAATTTATTAAACCAATTATATCAAGAAGATAGCCAAATAGTCAATTTATGTCCCAGCTGTATACTATTATAGGATATATAACAATTACAAAAATGTGTCCAGTTGTGTTTACAGCTAAAGACTACATGGAACATAAGAAAGACGTGAAATCAAATTTTCAAAGGATTTGTACCTACTCTACATCTCTGCAGTTGAATCAGTTGGATGTTTATTGCAGCTGCCTTCCTGTAGTGAATGATCTTTATAATTTGAGCTCCCATCTAAATGAAAGATCATCTCTACCTTCCATTGAATACAATTGTTTGCGTAAAGATCTAATGATTTCTGAAACAGATAACTTTCATTCCTTTAATTCTCTTTGAATCTCAAAACCTTAAATAAGTTTTCTAAACTTGATTCTATAGTAGACAAGGTTATTTGGGGACAAATTAAGAAACATAGTCAGAGGCCCTTGTCTCTTTAAAATGGTTATAAAATGTCTCCCTCCCAAACTCTCTTTTCCTGGAGAAAGGTGAACAACCTCTTGGCTGGCTGTCTATTATTTTGATGTTGATAAAGAAACCATACCTTCCCAGGCATAACAAAATAGGTCTGACAAATTTCCGGACTCATCAGCAAATGGCAAGAATGATAAATGAGATTAGAGTTGTCTGTGAAGCTGTTCTATCTTGCGTGTCTTGCTCAAAGTTTGGAAATGGTATGGTTCATTTATTAACAAAGTGATTACTAGACGCCTGAAATATCAATCTACCCTGTTAGACCTTCATCTAGAGTGAGAATTGTGTCTTCTTATACATTCATTCCCTTCCATCTGCTCTGTTCTCTCAGTTCGTATCTTGACAGATGGCTGTAACTTACATTACAGATAACTTTTCATCAGATACCATCTAAGCTCCCATCTTATGCTCAATATATTTTTAAGCTAATGCTCTTCCCTTAGATAATCTACATAAATAAACTAATGTTTTCTCTTTCTCTTTCTTTTTCTCCTGCCCCCATTTCCTCCACACATACAATCTGATTTATACAAATAACTTCCTACTTAGCTATAATTTCTATATCTATTCCTATATCAAATATATTTACTCATAAAAAATGTCCACAGAATTCTGAGCTCAAATTATTACAAATAGCAGTGGATAATCAGGAACAGACTCTAACAAATTGAGGAACATCCCAAAATTTCTCTCTATAATATTCCTGAAAAATCTCTAAAGTAAAGCATAAATATAATCCTACAAAAGTAATCTGACAGCACATTTTAACCTTCTACTTACCATTTACAACCCATGCAGGAGTACACTGCAGTATTCCTCTCTGATGGTCTGATTTCATAGAATCACAGAATCTTAGCACTTTGGAGAGACTCTGAGTATACTCCACCTTTCCCATCTAAGAAAAAGACTACAATTCAAGTCAAATGACTTCTCAGAGTTAAAGAGCTGGTTAGTAACACATCTTGGACTAGAACTCAAATCTTCTCACTTCAGCCCAATGCTCTTTCCACTATTTTGTTAAGTCAACAATATTCCAATCAAAGAAGGAGTTAACTAAAACAAATTCAATTCTGCTTATGAATTCCTCTCAAACACAGCGTCATCCCCGGGAAAGAAAAAAAAAAGTACATAGATATAAATAAACCCTAGTCACAATTGCCAAAAACGCACATAATGTAAGACATTGCCAAGGCTATTCATCCATGTTGATAATATACAAACACACACACACCATAACAATTCCCCCCAAATCAAGTATCCCATCTTTAGAAAGAAGAATGAGACAATTTTTGAGAAATTGCCAGGGCCCTGAAGTAGCTTGAGGTCATATATAACCCTGAAAACAAGGACTTGAACAAATGCCATGAGGTGATACCATCATAAATATCTTAGAGAAAAAAAAGGGTTGACATTTAGCACCTGGAAAAAGGCAAAGAGAATACCTAAGAATGACATGTGGTCTGTTAAAACAACACTCTCCCAATGCCTTACTCTTAAAACAGGGTAAAATTAAACCCATAGTGTGTCTACCTTGTCTTCTCTTCCCCTGCCCATATCCCACGATATAGAAATTTGCTCTCCATGGCCCTAGTACGGGAGAAATCCTCTTCAGCACTCCTTTGAAAAGAACCAAAGCATCCTCCTCATCATCAAGTGTTCAGGATCTTCCTGTAAAAACTTAGTCCACTCATTTCTCTCATGAGAAAATCTGTCAAGTGGTGATATGGAAGAACTGATTTGTGCCATTTTCTCTCGTATCTGATAGCACGAAACTAGAATCTAATAGAATCCAAGAGTGTCTGGCCTCATGTGATCTGGTGAAATATGAAATGTCTTCAAGTCACTTTTGAAGAAAAAGGAGGCTAAATCAGTTCATCTTTGAGATCTAAAATCAGTCCTTCCTTTTCCCCTTTTTGCCTACCTCCTGCCCTCCTTCCATCCTTTCCTCCAAACTTTCCCTTCTTCCCTCCCCCACCTCCTCTTCCTTCCCTCCTCTCTTTCTTGTTTTCCTTCTCCTTTCTTTCTTTTATTTTTATCCCCTTTAGATTACAGGAAGCTCATTTTATAATTATGAATGGGCTACTTTATAAATATTCTCTTCAAAGAACATTATAGTTAACAGAGAATGATTAACTTGAACACAAGAAATATCAGGTTCAGAATGGAAAAATAAATGAGATTTTACACAAACATAACTAGAGAGGACATTTTCTCATAGAAACTCATTCATAATGCCCCTACGACACCTCCTCTACCCTCTCTGCCTTGCTTAGCTTCCTCTTCCAGCAGGGTCCCCTGGAGAAAAGTATTTTCTACTTTTGTGAACCAAACACCTCTTACACACAGCCATTAAGTGATACATTTCAGTAGTTTCTTCTAACTGCAGAGCAAAATGTAGACATGGGAGTATTAAGACAAGTGTTCCTCCTCTTAAAAAAAATTGTACTCAAAGGAGAAAAGATGCATAAATTACAGTCTTACTGGTTGTGAGATCAGCATTGTAAAAGAAGGCCATGCAAAGGACTGCAGAACCACACAAGAAGGAGAGGGGCTTTTGTGTGAGAGATTTTGTGGGACATTCTAGAAGACAAGGGAAGACTTATAAACCCAATAGACTAAAGTCCCCAATGACATAGTTTATTCAGTTGTAGGTGACAGGGACATACTTTTGAATGTGTGTTTGGTAGGGAGGGGTAGTCTTTCAAAATCTCTCTAATTCTTCTACATTAACATTTAACCTCCATGCCCACCCAGAAGACCAGCCTTCAATTCCACACCCAGACTGGAATACAAGTAGGATGCAGGGCCTGGCTCAGAGACACAAGTTTTAGCTTCAGACAGATCTGAATGCCATCTTCTTCCACCACTTGTAAAATAGGTAGACAAGTTGTTTAACATTTTGATCCTCAGCTTTCTAATTTGTAAAATGGGAAGGGACCAACTCATCTGTTTTTTTGTTTGTTTGTTTCATAAGGTGTCAGAGATCTGGAACATAGCACTCATTTACCAAATTACAGCAGGATTCACTAGATCACAGCAATTATTATAGTAATTCATAAGAATATTTGTTTTACACAAAACTGAGGCATATCTGAAATATAACAATGAAGAAATAAAATATTTTTTCACGTATGGCTGATAGAAATTGTGTATATTTTCCAATGGCCAGAAAATATCCAGGCCTCCAGTGCTCTCTCTCTCTCCCTCTTTCTCTCTCACATGTGCACACAATGCATCTTTTATGTTGAACCAGGTTCCCAATTCTCCACCTACAGAACTTGTAGCAGCCAGCAGCATTATCAAACTGCAAGAATAGTGTGTCTAAGAAGCATGGCAACTAACTTCCCTGGCATCTATGCCATTCTTAGAACATGAAGCTCCTCAGACCGATTTATGAACCATCATCAAGGCAACCCAACTTTCTGACACCAACTCCTTAGAGATCCAAAATTTAAAAAAAAAAAAAAAAAATTCCATCATCTTCTTCCTCTCCTGGCTCACTTAGAAGTCTCCCTCTGTGAATTCTAACCCCATTGCATTGCAGTATGAGAAGAGGGGGAAAAAAAGACATTAGTAGGAGACCCAAATAAACAGTTTTTAGCTAGCATATTTTTTCATACTATACTACATAGATGAGCATTTTGAATATTTTTGCCCTGACATTTCATTTTGTGGAGTAAGCAACATCTGAAAAATGTTTACATATAAGAAAGCCTCTTTTTCATCTCCTGGAAAACCAAGTGAAGAATTTTAAGCTATCCCATTTTATTTCAGTAGAAGCACTGAGGTAGAAGAGAAGCAGTCCGGGAGTGGAAACAACAGCCCCTCCCACCATTCATTACTATGTGACCTTGAGACGTTCTCTCTGAGCCGCTGTTAGATTTATAAGACCTGCCACCCATATCCCCTTCCTGAGAAAAACCGCCTACCCGCAGCCTCTTAGGACTAAATGACTACATTTGTACCATGTGACCTAAGCCTTACACTAAGCCACAGTAAAATGGATCAAGCATGTGTTTCTTTAAAAAAAATATATGGCAACCCGGCCGGGCCTGTGGCTCACTCCTGTAATCCCAGCACTTTGGGAGGCTGAGGCGGACGGATCACGAGGTCAGGAGATCGAGACCATCCTGGCTAACACGGTGAAACCCCGTCTCTATTAAAAATACACAAAATTAGCTGGGAGTAGTGGCGGGCGCCTGTAGTCCCAGCTACTCGGGAGGCTGAGGCAGGAGAATGGTGAGAACCCGGGAGGCGGAGCTTGCAGTGAGCCGAGATCGCGCCACTGCACTCCAGCCTGAGTGACAGAGCGAGACTCTGTCTCAAAAAATAAAAGTAAAATAAAATAAAATAAAATATGGCAACCCACCCATACGCCAGACTTAGATCTTTGGCCTGGTGGGAAAAGATAACCTGAGCCAATCAAATTCCATTCTTCAGAATTCAGCACTGGGAAACACGGAGTTAAGGCAGCTGGCATTAGGGGCAGAATTTACAAAGGACACCAAGATGGTCATGTGGCAGAGAGAAGTCAGAGAGAACACAGAAAGTTAACAATAGCTGTGAGCTCGATTGTGAGCTGTCCTGGTGCTATGTCCCAGGTTCTCCAGGTCTCTCGCCTTTCCAGAAAAAAGGTCAAAGGATGAGGCTGAAAGGTGAGGTTTCATTTAGAGTGATGGAAAGCATAGAAAGCAAGAGAGTCAAACACCTGAGGAAGGAGCCCATGCAAACTTTATAGACTGAATACAAGTTTAGCATTGCTATGATTACTCAGAACGATTTGCAGAGCTGAAATCGTTTTTCATGTATATAACACTATTATGAGTGTCCTTACTAGCTCTTTTCTGGCTGAATTATTCTCACTGCTTTAATGTTCCCTCTCAAATCTGTTTCCAGTTCTGATTATTGTTATCCTCCAAGTTCAACGCTAGACCTTGGAATGTGATCAAAGTCAGCCTAACATTTTGCTTCATGCTATGCTTTTCAATGATAAATTGAGAGAATGGATAAAGAAATGTCAGTTCTCTAACATCTCTAATATCACATAATACTACAACTTAAGGCCAGGCGCGTTGGCTCACGCCTGTAATCCCAGTACTTTGGGAGGCCGAGGCAGGCAGATCACTTGAGGTCGGGAGTTCGAGTGATCATGGAGACATGGAGAAACCCTGTCTCTACTGAAAGTACAAAATTAGCTGGGCGTGGTGGCACATGCCTGTAATCCCAGCTACCCGGGAGGCTAAGGCAGGAGAGTTGCTTGAACCTGGGAGGCAGAGGTTGTGGTGAGTCGAGATGGCGCCATTGTACTCCAGCCTGGGCAACAAGAGCAAAACTCTGTCTCAAAAAAATAAATAAATAAACAATTTTTTAAAATACTACAACTTAAGATATGCTAATCAGCAATGTGATAACTGGGAGGGAACAAAGAAAACAGAAGAAAAAATATATATGTACTTCATTTGGGGCAGTGCTCATGTAAATAATATTGTGTTTTTAATTTGAAATGTCACTTGTTAATTGCTGGTGTATAGAAAAGTGATTAAATTTTGTATATGAACTTTGTATCTGTTTTTGTCTCATATAGTTTGATATTCTGTTGTTAGCCACATACACATTAGGTATTGTTACATCTTGGAGAATAGATCTGTTTATCATTATGTAATGCCTCTTTTTATTCCTGATAATTTCCTTGCTTTGAAGCCTGCTCTACTCTTTCTGAAATTAATATAGTGACTCCTGCTTTCTTCTGGTTAGTGTTAGCATGGTGTATTTTTCTCCACCATTTGCTTGTAATCTTTATATGTCTTTATATTTAAGTGGGTTTCTTTCAGACAAAATATTGTTGTCTTGTTTTTTATTCACTTTGACAATCTGTCTTTTTATTGATACATTTAGACCATTTATGCTCAAAATGACTATTTATATAGTTGGATTAATATGTCCCATATTTCTTACTGTTGCTCTTATTCTTTGTTCCTATTGTTTTTCATTGTATTTCTGCCTTATGTAGTTTTAATTGGGCATTTAATATGATTCCATTTTCTCTCCTTTCTTAGCATATCAATTACATCTCTTTGTTTTTGGAGCAACCACTAAAAACAGGAGTTAAGAAGTACATATTTACCAC